TATAATATAAATCATCAAAGGTACATATACAGTGTTCAAATAAGGACATGATGGAACATCGTAGGCTACCCTGTAGGTTTTCAACGAATAAAGTCAACAACACAAGGAGAAGCAGCGATGGGAATTGAACCAGGGACTTAGAGATCTCCACGGTTCAGCACACACACAGTGGCTACCACCAGATTAGCCGACTGAGCTATGCTGCTCTCGTTAGTTTGAATGACACGCTTACCTATGGTTCTAGAGGCGGAACAAGTCTTTTTGGATAAGGACTATAAACCTTTTAGGCCCAGTGTACACGACTAATGTGGAGCTGTGTACAGCTTTGGAGACGAGTAGGGGTTTACCCGGCGTTACTGGTCCATACAGAATGTTGAGGACAGAAAAGAGTAGATGAGACCGGTTCAGGTAGCTCAGAAACAGAGAGACCCTTGAGGAAAAGAAAGTTACTGGATGAGCTAGTCCATGCTTTGAGTACTTTACGACTCTGGTGTAAAACGCTATATAAATCCAACTATTATTTTTTTATTATTTACCATCATCTGTTTCTTTACAGGATAGGGCATCATCCAAATCACGGGCCGTGGCTGGGTCAATGGTGAAGATGCATTCCTTCCTTAAATCTCTTCTCTTTGCTATCTCATCTTCGGGTATACTCCAATTTTCACCTTGTGGAAGACAAGCCAACACCTACCAATAAAGCAAATTGCAAAATTTAAAAATATTATATAATCTTATCATGCTTCCATCATCTTATCCTTTAATTTTATAATTACATAATTTTTTTCCTCTGTAGTCTGGCTAAAGTTTAAAAAAAAAATAAATACAAAATAATATAAATTGTTTTTATTGGCTGTATTTGTATGTTATAATGTACAGAAAGGCTATATTTACTGGAAATGGGGAGAAAGAAATTCTTGTGACATGGACATTGTATTTACCAAAACAAAAGGCTCCCGACTGGATCATATTGAAAATGAAATTCAAGTTTTTGTTTTGAGTTAATTTGTTCATGATGGTCATATCGATATTAATTAGTTCTCTTTTATAACATCATCGGGAATCAATAATGAAGATTTTAATAAATAAGAAATTATTCAATCAACATTGCTCGGTCTGTTTAGATTGTGCATGGTATAATAATCAATGTTTTTGCAACATTACTTTGCACAATTACTGCATAATACTATATGGCTGAACGCACACTTTTTGTATAGTATATTGTTTATGACTACAATGGTAATTGTGATTTTTAACAATTAAAATATTCCAGTGGGATAGTGAAATGGCTTCAGAATTGTGGAGAGGTGTGTTAACATTTTTCATGACTGTAGGCAATACCGTTATAAACATAAAAATAAAAATTATATTTGTACGACTTTGATTCCGGCTTTAAACCAGAGCCTTGCAGGCGTCAACGTTCCTATGCATGATACACGACTTTTAGAAGTATATATACGT